GTACATAAATCTTTATCATAAACAAAATATTCCTCTTGTGATTTTGTTAGAGCTTTATAATATACTATGCTTGCTTTTAGAGTTTTTCTAGGATATATTATTCGTGAAAAGCTCACTCTCGCTTGCAAGGAATTCATAGCCAAAAGATTATATAATTTCATTAAGGGGTTCGAGAGATGTATAAAATTGAAGTTCTATGTTTAAAAACTTGAGAATAGAGTTCAAGTTTTATATGTCAAGAAGACATGATTTTATTCAATTTTAAATGCTTTTAATGTTGGAGAAATAAGTTAGAAATATTGAGTGGCTAGAAATTGCATAAATGCACAAATATGTAAAGCTACCCACTTACTCTCAACAAGGTTATCATATATTTCCACTAAGAAAAAAAAACAATAAAAAATCCTTAAGTTATATGCTAACATATATATAATCTAAAGTATCATTATTGATTAATCTTTTCCCTCCTTTCTTTCCTTGCAACTAGTGAAATTAATTATTAAAGTTTTCATAGGTGTCATTACATTACATGTTCTTGCTCTCTCTAGGGTTTTCATGGTTTACACTGATAAAATCAACAAAAAATTTTCACCAAATTTCAAGGAATCTTACTCAATCTTTGGTGGAGTAAATGAAATAATGGGTTTGATATAAGGAAGAAAGAGAGAGTAATAAATCCAATTTATTAGAGGATAAAAAACAAAAGTTATGTAATTTTATGGATTAATAGGTGTTATAATTTTTTGTAATTTAGGATGTCCGAATCAGTATATAAATATTATAATTAATTTTTAAATTTATTAAATATCTTGTAAGCCTAATAAATAAGTAAAACATTATAATGATAACAGATAAAAAGTTAAATGTGGATACTAAAAAAAAAAACAAATTTCTTTCATGGCTATTAGGCCACAATCTTAAATATTTTATTAATTATAATTTGTATGAGAAAATTATGAATATCTCATCCAATTGAAAATTTTTTATTTACCTAAAGATAGTGTAATTTTTTAAATTATAAAAGTGCAATTAACAATAAATCATAGGATATTAAACAATAATTTTTTTAAAATAAATAAAATTAAAGCTTGGTTTGCTATGCTCCCACGAGGCAATTGTTGGGCTTGGCTTTTTGCTTATTTTTTTTTTATATATTTCAAGATTATTTTTTATTGAATTTACTTACTCTTCAACTTTGATATAGATATTTGAGTATTATTATAATTTTTTATTTGAAATTTAATATTTTATCCAATTATTGTGTTTTTTATCTAAAAATAATTATACTAATAATAAATTGTTTATAAAAATTGAATTGAAATTATTTTTTAAAATAGATTTGAAACATGATTTTATTATATTTATAATCTTTTTAGCTTTAAATTACAAAAAAAATATTAACACACTATTTTGATATATTTTTTTGTTAATTTGCTTTAATAGTAATAATCTTTTTAATAAGAATTAATGTTTCTGGTTAAAAGTATTGTCTTAGTAAAAATAAATAAGAGATATATTATTCAAAAATTTATTTTTATAATTTTTTTAAATAAATAATTTAATAAAAACACAAAATAATTTTATTTACATTTGAAAGTATTTTTTATATTAAAAAAAATTAATCCCGCAATGTGGAGCACACAAGCAAACTAGAGATTGTTTGTTTAGAGTGAGATATTTTTTCACTAAAGATGCTCCTTTAGGCATTTTTTCATCTGGTATCTTTTATCCTAAAAGGCAAACCAAACACTGCCTAAGGAACGCGATCCAGTTGGATCAACCCAAGATGAGTCCACTGGCCAGAGAACTGAGCGCGTGGTTTTCTCCAATAGCAGGGAGCAACGAAAGAGGCAGTCGGGAAAGAGATAGGGAATGATGGGGTCATCACTATCAGCTTCCCCGCCGCCGTTGTGGCGGTCCCCGATACAGCCCTTGAATCTCATTACAACCGTCGCTTCTCTCCGCTTTGGCTTCCTTGTGCACTCCTCCTTCAAGGTACCCCCACCATGCCGCCTTCCTTCTCTCTCTTTTATGCATTCTTGCATCTGTTGTTTGTGGTTTAGACTTTGATGGGTGTCCGGTGAAATGTTATTCTTCCTGGCAAATTCTTGTACGCCTTGTACTTAGTGGATTTGGGGTTAACTTTTTGAAGCACTTCCTGTTCTGTGAATGATTGGAGAACTGTTTTATGTTGACGTAGACAGATTCTTCTTGGTAGAAAAGGACATGATCCATGCTCGTCCTACAGTACTACACATATAACATTTATCACCATGCCTTTCTGGGTGATTGTTGCCTTGCCTGAGAGATTGTAACTTTCGCTTTTGATTTTGGTCAATTGAATATGGTTCAAGACTGTGTCTTCCCTTTTGTTTTTCTTTTACTTGGCTGAAGCTGTGCAAGTGCTGTGAAATCACAGTTTTCCTAAGCTGCAACAAAAATAATACTGGTGAACATTTTTGGGTACTCGCTTGTTTGTGAACTGGTATGTAAAACACAGTGGTCTTGTCGTTTCCAAAAGTTATTAATGCCATTTGATTTCTCGTTTTGAACAGAATATCTCTCATCTCTATCATGTTCCTAGATTGAAGGATGTGTGGCATGAAAAAGCTTCCCAGTTGCAGGGAATTGACGTTCTTCAATTTTCAAATGATGTCTTTGCATCCACATGCTCATCTTGCTTGTGTTTCTTCAATGGAGGAGGGACTAGAAAGGGCTTTAGAAATGAGGGAACACCAAACTTTGAGACATCCGGGAGAAGTTCATTTAATGGAAGACAATGGACTAATATTCTTCTCGCTATCAATATCTTGCAAGTATTATAACAATATGGACAAATAACATATTTTAATTTTCTTTATTGATCAAGCAACAGCTACTTAGAATTTATTTTTGTGCTCCTTTTCCTCTAATTTTATTAGTTATGTCATGTGTGCAGAGTTTATTTTGCGCAAATTGCTACCCAAGGAAAGCTGTTGTTCTGGGGTGCTAAGGTTAGACAATTAAGAGTGCTAATTTGGCATTGAAACTTCTTCTATGGGGGCTCTTCACCTGTGAGTTAATTTATAATTCACACAGGTTAACAGTCTTATTGACAAGGGACAATTTTGGAGGCTGGCCACTTCTTCTGTTCTGCATGCAAATATTGGGCACCTCATGGTCAAGTCTACATCTTACGCCTTTGCATCTTATGTGCTGTTGCTGATTCTTCTTTATCTATCTGATGAGAAATTTGTACTTTCCAGGTTAATTGCTATTCTTTGAATTCTGTTGGTCCTACCATTGAGAATCTTAGTGGCCCAAGGAGATTTATTGCAGTTTACCTCACCTCTGCAATTGCAAGTAACAGCTCATAAACTCACTGCAATATAAATGAAAATGCTTCCTTCCTAGTTTCCATGTTCAATTCTTTCATGAAAATCAGGTTCAGCAATGAGTTACTGGTTCTGCAACCTAACTAAACTCAACACAAAGTAAGGAAAAAAAAAACAAAACCTTAATTTAGTAGTAACAAATAATCTGATGGTTCATAGATTAATTAAATAATTGAAGCATTATAATTAATAAAACCACTAAATAATAGTGAAGAAAAGAAAAGGACAAAAAAAAAGGGGAAGGAGGGAGCAGCACCCCACCATCTACAGGTTTTCAAAATTTGAAAAACCCTCAGATGCCAAAAAGTTTTCATGTACGAGCGCCCTCTTCTCTCTTCCCCCCTCTCTCTGAGTCAGTCTCTCCCTGCTCACACAGATCTCTCTCTGTATCTTCCTCTCTTTCAAATTCCCCCACTCAAAGTAAGCAAGCTCCTAAATCTTCTCCTTTTCTTTTTATAATAATTATTTGACATCTTTAATGAATGTTCAAATTTCACCTGGATTCATCTTGAAATGTTAATTCCTATCTGGGTTTTGAAATTCTTGAGCTCCCTTTTGTGTATTTTCATTTTCTTTTTATTTTTTTAATTAAATTGATTTCATTTGAGCATATGGCTAAATGAGAAATTTTATGTTTAATCTGTGTTGAATTCTAGTGTTTTTCTTTTCTGAAACAGGCGGCTTTGAATGGATTAGCCAAGAATTCAAGTGAAATGAAACGGAGATGTTCTTTATTTATTTAATATCAAACAATGTCTTTGTCCGCTCTAAATTTTAGAATATTGGAATCAGTGAATAATAATAATTTAATTATTAAATTTAATAGCGAATGCGAAGTGGGTGCACGCATCAATGAATATTGTATCTTTTTGAAATCTCAATGGCTCTTTATTAGTCTGGAGTAATATCATCCGTTGCCTAACACATGTTTGATTTAAGTCCCTACAGAATGGAATCTCTCCCGGATGCAGTTGTTCAATACATCTTCTCATTCATGAACAATGCAAGGGATGTTGCTGTCTGTAATTGCGTATCGAAGCGATGGAAGGACTCTTTGCCTTACATCAAAAGCCTTTACTTCCCCAGGAACTCTTTTGACAACCAATCTGGCATCGACCATCCTGATACCATTGTGTGGAAGATGATATCATCAGTTGTTAAATTAGAAGAGCTTGTTGTATACAGCCCCTTCTCGAGCATAGGCCTTGCCTCATGGATGCTGCTTGTGGGGTCATCGCTCAAACATCTTGAGCTTAGAATGGACAATCTTGCTGAATACCAGAACTGTATTGAGAGCCCGTCGAAACTGGAATGCATCAGCACCGCAAATAATTTGGAGTCTTTAAAGCTTTGGGGTGTCCTAATGATGAACTCTCCCAAGTGGGATGCCTTTCCAAAACTTCAAAGCCTTGAGATTGTCGGTGCTAAATTGGAAGATCATGCGTTAACTGCTGCCCTTCGGGCATGCCCGAATTTGAAAAACTTGTTGCTACTCGGGTGTGAAGGGGTTAGGTCAGTTTTGATCGAGTTGCCTAGCTTGGAGCAATGCAAGCTGGACTTTTATGGTGTGGGTAATTATTCACTAACCTTGACTTCACCTAAAATTGAATTCCTCGAGGTTCAAGGCTGTAGTTGGATCAGTGTTCGTGAGACTGCTTGCCTGAGGAGTCTTTCAATTTCAAATAATGCTGGTAATATTTTGATTTTTCAGTTCAGCTACTTATCTAAGAAGTTTAGAAATGCTGTTGCTCTCTAATCTTATTTTGCACCTTCAAAACCTCCTGCTTGTAATCTGTTTCAGGGAGAGTTTATATGGTAGATTTTGGAAAACTCGCGGCCCTGGAGTTCCTGTCTATTAGGGGAGTCCAATGGTGTTGGAATGCAATAAGTAAAATGCTTCAGTTGGCAAGTGAGGTGAAGCATCTGTACATGAAGGTTGAATTTACCGGGGACTTTGACAACCTCCAACCCTTTCCAGAGATTGACTTCGTTGATTTTTTTAATAGCCATCCCAAGCTTCAAAAATTCGATATCCATGGAGCAATGTTTGCTGCTCTCTGTCAAAAGAACAGCTTGAAAAATGTGAGTTGGAAAATCCACTATGAACGAACAAGTCTATGCTTTTGCTTCAGTACTGCTGTAATGGAGCTGCGTTTTCCGGCTTTGCAGGTGCAGTCTGGCTTTGTGATTCCTTGTCTGGAGGAGGTGGTGGTAACAGTCAGATCACCGTTGAATGCCGGGCAGAAGATATGCACCCTTGGGAGGC